TATCGCTGTAGACAATACTTGGACTTTGAGTAAGAAGGGAATTAGATGTGTCTTGTTAGAGGCTGTAACTTCCTGATACCGATTTGATATAGCTCAGTGGACTGGTGTGTCACTACTCAGTTTTTCTGAACATCACCTTAGTATATCAGATTTCCAACTTCCGTGGTTCCCGAGATAATAATTTTCCTCGCCGAAACTTTTACGGGCCGTAATTGATGCCCGGGCGCGCGAGAAGGCTAAATTTAAATCTGCAGGATTGTATATGAGCAAGGGAAACGGCAATGATAATTCCTCTTTAGCAAGCGTTATACTTGTGTGGAAATGATAATTTACAGTAAATAACAATTTAATATAACAATTTCAGTAGTTCTGGAATGTGGTCAAACGGATAATTTATCGTTTTTGGTGAACGGGCACGCAGCTGCTGCACCGTTGTGGTTGTGTGATACGATCGAAGATATCCCAGAATGGCCTGGCCCTCCGTACTGTTCAGCACTACCGCTACCCGGTACGATGACACTTCCGTCCTCACAGCAAGCTATAGCAGCGGGGGAAAATCCAGTGATTCCAGAATTAACTCTCTGCTTCGGAGTCCTCTGGAAGGCCAGTATTGTGAACAGCGATGGAACCTTATCAACAGGTTACTTTTTATGCGTTTTATGCTGTATAGCAGCAATACAAAACGCATATTGTCACGGGTCCGCAATTTTCCACAATTTTCAGCTCGGGAACTACGGAAGCAAATTTTATAGGCATACACCTGCTCACATGTTACCAGAAAATCTAAATTCAGCCTTCTACTGCTAGCGGGAAACAAGTACGGTCCCGTAAAAGTTTTGGCGAATAGAATCGTCACGGGAATCACGGAATCTAGGAAGCTGAAATCTTAAGGCAATAGCCTCCTGCCCACGCAAAACCTTGCGTTCTCGCGCTGTCGGGTATCACCTGCGGTCCTGTGAAAATTTTGGCGTGCCGATCCGTGAAATTTTTAACAATTTTTGTACAGAATAAAGTACAGAGCAGTGAAAATCATTAACGGGCAATCGTTCAGTGAGCGGAATTGCACAAAACGCTTGATCGCACCGGCTGTTCTGGTGCTCGCTGCTATTTATTTTATTATATAATCTATCACAATTTCAGTTTGATGACGCACTGTATTGCCTCTTATTATCTCACTTTTTTTTTCAGTTTTCGGTGAAAATTTCGTCTCAAGTCCATTCCCGCCTGGTTGCTCGGTTCCGTATTGTGCGCATCATATTTTTCGTCCACTTACAATTCAGCAGACGCACAAAAATAGCTGTGAACCCACACAGCGATTATCTGCTATTGCTGGAGCATCGGACGAAAATTCATTCGCACTTATTTGTAAAATATCGACTCCTTCTCCGATCATTTATCATAATTTCTCCGAGAAAAGGTACCCTTTGGGCCAAACTTATGCATATTAGTAGAATTGCGAGAAATAATTATCTGAAATCTCCAAGATTTTCTTAAAACGACAAATGCCGCGGAACACCGACAAAAAGCCAGCAAAGAAGCCGCTTTAAAGAAAAATGAGAAGAAAGGGGGAAAGGCATATCTTGCCTTGAAAGCCAGATGCACAGTAGGTGTGATGTGAAGCTGAACCCGGTGGTGTAGTGGTAACACATTGCATTCGGATCTGAAGTGGCTTAGTTCGATTCTCTCCCGGTCCAACAATTTTTGAGAAAGAGCTCTATTCACGACAACGACTTTTGACAGCCGAGGCATAATAATATTGATTTCCTGTTACGCACTTGACAGATTTTCCACTTTGCCAGTGCTGCATCGCTTGGTTATTAGCTTACCGGCGATCCCAGCGTACAGTTTGTTTTATGCGAAATTTCCCTCTAGGGGAGCATCTTTCTTTCATCAGTTCTCTGAAGCGAAGCACTTTTACAAGGATTTAGCCGCTTCGAGTTATCTTTGGTCTGAGGGTCGGCATTTCGCCTTGAAGATTTCCACATGATTACCAATGGCAGCTTTTGAGACGATTTGATCACGATGGGATATTTGCTTTTAATACACATAAATTTATTTGACTACGCATAATTTTCATAGCTCGACCTGAAATTGTGAATAAAAAAAATAAATAAGTTAATTTTTTAGTTGTCAACTTATTTCTGTTTGTATTTTTTTCAGGATTTGTCACATACCTGTGCAAATAGCAATAACCAATGATGATGTGCGTAATCGACGAAACTGTTCGGTGACCGTGCATTTCCAAGATTCTTTTTTCGTCCGAAAGCAACCGCAGCCAGAATTAGGCAGCCCGGGAGGCTCGGGGATTGTTCCCCCACCTGCAGTTTCTGCATTCAGCACTCCGCATTTGCATTCCCCATCGCCAGTTGTACAACCAGTGGTTGTAGCGGATCGCACACGGATGCGTTCAACGATAGCTTTTGGAAGTACGCGAATTTTCGACATTCATCTCAGCGTTTACTGCTCATCGGTCTACGATATTGCTCGATTTCGGGTTATCGGTCAATTCGATGATGACGATGAGGCGGCTGCAGTTTCTATACGTGTTCCGTGCGCATATGTTACTGTGATTGATCAACGGGTTCCGTAATTTTTTTGTTTCATTTTTGCTAGGGAAATATTTGAGGTCATTTGTAGGGTGCATCTTTTGTTTTTAGTACATTTTGCGTTTCTTCCCCCTCCCCCCACCCTTCTCCACCCTGCCCTCCTCACGCTCCTACTGTGTTCAAACTTGGGGAGAGTATTCATGCTTGGGAAATTTCCAGTGCACTGAAAGGATCCGTTTGAATGCCCCTTTCTAGAGTTATGTAAATGCGGCTGACTCAGAACTGAGCTTCTATCGGCTGTACTGGTGGTGAGAACGGACAGAACGGAGAATTAGTAAGCATTCGAAATACTGGCAATCGAAGGGTATTGCCCTGATTAGTGAGTTCGAATTTGAGTTTAATGAGACGCAAAATGTGCCTGACACAAGTGCTGCCTTATTTATGCCTTTCAATCTTTTAATTTCTCATCATTTTTCGTGGTTTTTCCTCAAAAATCCGTTTAAAATGTATCATTCTTTTTTTTCGGGTCTTCGGTTGTTGATGATGAATCTGTTAAATTGTGATATTTTCGCTTTCTGATTTTCCTAAAGATAATGGTCATCATCATACTGATAACTGTGATAACTGTTTTATGCTTGAATTGTACTGATAAGTAATTCGCCCTCTTGATGGCATCAATTTTAGTAAAGTACGTAAAATTTCCGGATGAATTCGTCTCTTTTATGTATTTTTCATTTCTGCAGCAATTTTTATAGAAAATTATCAGTGTGTTGATGTTCTGCTGTTGCTACGCCCTATAGCTGCCCACCTATCAATGAAAATAGATCAGCAGTAAGTGATATCGATGATAAGAGCTAAGCTTCATTTTTTGTACGCTAGTTTTCTGACATATCAGTTAGTTTACACAGGGAATTTTTGTTAAAAAATTCAATAAGATGTCTGCCATAGGCCTTTTTTAC